ACAGACAGACAGACAAACAGACGGATAGACAGACAGACAGACAGACACACAAACAAACAGACGGAGAGACATACAGACAAACAGACTGACTAAATGAATGACCAGACAAGGCGACAGACAGACAAACTGACAAACAGACAGACGGACAGACAAACAAACAAACATACAAACCAGAGCAGACCGACAGACAGATGGACAGACAGACAGACAGACACAACAGACGGAGCAGACAGACCACAAAACTGCTTTGTGTTGTCCATGCATATGTTTGACCTATGCAGGATTTCTTCCTGCGGTAGAGATTCGTCAATGCAACATAGATGATGTTCAACCATTCAATACTATTATTGTTCTTTCTTGTTTGAATAAGAGGGGAGAAAGCAGGATTCAGAATGACCTTTTTTTTTCTCTCTCCCCTCATCTTTAAACATTTCTTTTTGCAATTGGACGTCATTGAACTTTCTGTCGAGTGAACACTCCGAAATTGGTCAGGATCGCAACACAGAACAGACAGACAGACAGAGGGTGGGAAAAAGAGAAGCGCGTGCACACGTGGAAGAGGGAGAAGAGGGGTTGATGCTAACAAACCAAGCATATAAATTACAGGTCACAGGATGAAAGAATGTAGAGCCAGAGAAAGGAAACAACAAACACACTTAGTGTACACTCACATACGGATACTTTGATGGTTTGCGCACATGTCCACAACAACAGAACAGACAGACAATGGGACCTCCACCAAGCCTGTGGCAAGAAAAGCAACGACAACAACCCCTAATTCAACGAGTGGCTTCTTGTACCCAACTTCCGTAGACGTACAACGCACCACGCACCTACAGACCTACACAACCGTCCAAACGGCAAACATCTACGAGCGCATTTTGGTAAAGATCCATAGTACATGCATTCACATGGAAACCTACAGTAAGTGGACCGAAAGCTAGGACACACATTAGATAGACCTCCGGGTGCCAACGAGTCTTCAGAAGGGCGAAAACGAAAAACAAGTACAAGGCCGAAAGACCCGGGACTAAGAAAGTAGAGACAACTGGCAACAAGTTCCGCCGTTGAAGCCCACCGAAAGGTCGATCATTCGAAAAGAAAGAAAGAAAGAAAGACTTGAAGAATGGAAGAAGAAGAAAATGAAAATGAAAAAAAAAAAAAAAAAAAGTAAGAAAGAAAGAAAGGAGAACAAGAAAAAATATATATATATATGGGGTTCACTACTGCGGGCCAAAATCAGCGACAGAGTCGTCCTTCAATACCTTCATGTCCCCCACTAGTGAACCTGATCTCTCTCTCTCTCTCTCTCTCTCTCTCTCTCTCTCTCTCTCTCTCTCTCTCTCTCTCTCTCTCTCTCTCTCTCTCTCCACCTATTCAACCCATCTAACACCACGAAGACTTCCACGGAGTCCACGATTCGACAGGACAACCGTTATGCAACACACAGTATAATTATCAAGCTGCCTTTTTTTTCGCGGACCCCCCCTTACGTGGCACTACTTTCCTCTTCTTCGCCCCTGCTCTGCTGCCATCCCTTTCTGCCTATTTGGCGTCCATCCGTTCCTGTCTCTCCTCAGCTCTCGCCTTCTCGTCCAACATACCTTGATATTTCTCAACCCAGCGAGGCTTCGACAACCTATCCACCAGTCTCATGTCCCTGACCTGGATCGTCACCCTCTTTGAATGGATGGCCACCTCGTTGGTGTTCTCGAAATTGGCGACCAAGTACGCATCGGCAGCCTCCATCAAAGCACGCACCGCCGTCATCTGAAACCTCACGCCCATACCCGGAGCAATGTCCCGCTCCACAACCTCCGACACGAGACACAAGAACAGCCTGAAAGCCAAGCAAAGGTCGGTGGATCGTTGCAACTTTCTGATTTTCGACAAAGTTGTCATCTCGGGGCGTCGACGGCGTCTGGGGACCTGAGTTCGTGCACCTGCGGTGTCTCCGGTCCCTGGCATCGCCTTCGGGTTCACCTTCTTTCTGCCTGCGGACGTCTGCCCACGTGGCGGTCCCGGCGTGCACTTCTTCTTCTTCCCCGGGCTCTGCGACATCGCGACATCGCTCGGCCCGCCCATGTCACCCTGTGCTGCAGAGCACCCCCCGACGCGGCCAGGACCACATGGGCCCTCCACCTCAGCAGACAACGGGAAATTTCTGAACGCTTCTTTGTCCTCTTGCCTGCCTGCGCTGAACCTGGCAAGCCATCCTCCGACAAATACCGAATGTTTCGCTGGAGTCCATCTGATTATGTCAGATGGAAAGGCACACCAAGCGGGTCTCTGAGTCTCATGGTGACGTCTCCAACATGCTCATATGTCATGGGACATACGACCGAGACCCAACCAAGAACGGTCGTGCAACCGTGCCTGCGGCGAATGCGAGCCATGTATCTGTTATGACCGTCGCCGTGCTCTTAGGCCGTACAATCCCCTCAACCATGGACCACATCCCTTGGTCAGCCATGGAGTCATAACCCGCGCACACCATCGGACGCTCCTTCTCCCTTACCTTCTCCCAGCACCGCTTTGCGTGTTCAACCACCAGGACGTGGTCCTTTACATTCACATTGAAAATTGAGACGTGTTAGAACCACGAGGAACCGCCAATGCTCCACAATGCCTGCATGCATCCATCCCAATTGGAGCCAATGCCCTGATTGCAGTCTTGCTGCCATCGTCACCTTGCCATCAACCACTGCAGGATGCAAACATCCTGGGACCCAATTGACACAATAGCCATACTTTTCAGGGGCCATATGCTGCTGCAACTGTCCTTCAGGGATGACACGGGCCCCAACGTCCATGGCAGACAGAACGTCACTCCTCATTGTGACATTGTCCCATATCTGCGAGCATACTCCATCATACGTGGCTTCCTGCCCTCTTGCATGCGTGTATGTGCTGCCATCCTCGCCAGTGAAAACTTTCCCTTCAACCACTTCCGGCTCCACAGGGTTCCGAAGCGGCGGGAAAAAGCAGCCAGCAATATGGGTATTACATGCCATTGCCTTCTTCTCGTCTTCTGAGGCCTCCCTGTCGAGGTGCCTGAAGGAGAAGTTGCCATTCACATAATGCGTGCTCCAGACATTTCCCATGGCATCACGCATCATCATCCTCACACGGCCACATGGAATCGGAATCACACATGGCACCCAACCCCACCTAGGATCCCTTCTCACGTCGCTCTCGTGGCACGCCATACTCCCTGTTGCGTCGTTCCCGCCAATCACCCATGCCTGTCCACAATCAAAACTGTCGTACAAAAAATCTTTCAGCCTGAACTCGCCCTGCGCCTCCAGAAGACGCCACATGTCCAATGCATATCACCCTTTCACCTCTGCTGTTGCCCCATCGTTCAACCTTAATAGTCTGTCAAACACGATTGTCAGAGTCACGTTTCGCCATGTATTCTTTTTGGGGGCAGGAAATGGAACCCATGTCCCTTCGACTTTGAACGCAAAGCAGGGTGCTCCTCCAACAATACCCGGTTGAACACGACCCGACACCCAATTGATGTCATATGGGTACTCTTCTCTTGCTGATGTCTTCACCACATTTTCATCTTTCACAATACACCCTGTCAATGATTCCCTGCTTTCCATACCTCCCTCCTCTCTCTCTTCCCCAACCGTTTCCGACTCACAAGTGCTCCCTCTTGCATCATTCTCTGTTTCATCACCATCACCCATCATCTCTGCAGTTTGTGCACATATTATCGCAAGCACCTCTGCACAGTCTGCGTTGTTCCCTCATGCCGAATTCCCTTTCTTGCTGCCATCTGCAAAACCCTTCAGAATGCCCTCCGTCTCCATGACGCATGTCTCTCCATCGTTGACAGTCGATGCAATCGCGGGTTCCATCTATTGCATGAGACACCACATACATTTATGAGAACACGTAGCTGCGACATGCCCCCCTCACAAGAGAGAGAGAGAGAGAGAGAGAGAGAGAGAGAGAGAGAGAGAGAGAGAGAGAGAGAGAGAGGTTCACTAGTGCGGGCCACAAGGATAACAAACAGCACCGGTGGACATTGATATCGCACGCAGTAGTGAACCACTTGTGTGTCGTGAGGCAAAAAGCAGCAAACATTATGGACATGAATTTACTCTAAGCAGAAAGTAATAATACAGGCAGCACTTAAACACACATCATAGTGTGTGTGTGTGTGTGTGTGTGTGTGTGTGAGAGAGAGAGAGAGAGAGAGAGAGAGAGAGAGAGAGAGAGAGAGAGAGAGAGAGGTTCACTAGTGCGGGCCACAAGACAACAAACAGCACTGGTGGACACTGATATGGCACGCAGTAGTGAACCACTTGTGTGTCGT